AGAGTGTTGATTGTGGAGCCAAGCAAACTAAAGCTGTGAACAATCTCAATCTCTTCACCATCCATCCTGATGCTGCCAATTGGTCCAGTGGTGAGAATCTGTCTTCTTGACATTGAGCCTCAAGCCATAATCACCAATTTTATGAGAAAAAGATAGAGACCCTGGACAAATACAGAATTACTGCAAAAGAAAGAAAACAACAACACAACAACAATAAAAACTAAACCAACAAAAAAAAAATAAGTTGGGTGAAGGAAAAGGCAATATACAATAAGCGTTTGATGAAACATGGTAATTTATTTAGGAGCTCTGGAAGCCTATGAGTTAAGAAACTGTTCTGCAACCCAAAGGCAGGCATTGCAAATCTACTAGCTGACCCCCTGGAGAAAGAGGAGCAGTGTTCTCCTGTGAAATGTGGAGCTTCTGAAAACCCGCTGGAGGGGGTCAGCTATGAATCAGTTCAGACTTGATGGGAATATGGCAGTGAGGGAGCAAGAGAAACAAAAAGAAATTGCACTTAGCGTTACAGTTAAAATTTGTATGAATATTTGAATGAAAATGTGTATGATTTGTGAATTTACACTCCAGTAAAAATGAAAAAATAAAAAAGAAGTAAGCAAGAGAATCTCATATTCAATAGCAACTCTAAATATTAAGTTGAAGGTAGTGAATATCAGAATTGACAATACAGAAAATTCAGTTGGTAGTATGGAGGATGTTGTTAGGTTCCATCAAGTCAGCTAGAACTCATAGTGACCATATACATAACGGATGTAAACGTTGCCCTCTTCAGTGCCATCCTCAGCATCTCTGACAAGTCTAAGCACATTATGACAGTCACTACTGAGAGTCTTCCTCTCTTTCCACTGATTCTCCACCTTTTCCAGCATGATGCCTTTTTCTAAGGAGTCATCCCTCCTGATAACATACCCAAAGTATATGAGACAAAGTTTCACCATCCTTGCCTTTAAGGAGACTTCTTTGTTCTTTTGACAGCTCATGGAATATTCAATACTTATCTATAGCACCACAATTCAAAAGTATCAATTTTTTTTCTGTCATCCAAAATCATTGTCTAACTTTTAGGTGCATAGGAAGTAATTGAAAAACCATGGCTTGGATCAGGCTCACCTTAGTCATTAAATTGATGTCCTTGCTCTTTAGCATTTTGAAGATATCCTTAATAGCAGGTTTTTTTTTTCCCAATGCAACACCTTGTTTGATTTATTTACTGCTATTATTATGGGTATGTATTGTGGACCCAAGTAAAATGAAACTGTTGACAATGTTAATCATTTCTCCATTTATCACATTGTCTATTGGCCTAGTGGTAGAATTTTTGTCTTCTTAATATTGAGATGTAATCAATATTGAAAACTAATCTTTGGTTTTCTACACAAGTGTTTCAGTTCTTCTTTGTGTTCTACAAGCAAGGTTGTATAATATGCATAACGCTGGTTTTTGATGAGTCTTCCTCTAATCTTCTTACCCATTCTTCAAAACAGTGTCCAGATTCTTGATATTTTTTCTCAGTATACATGCATACATATATACTAGTAGTTGGAAATACAGGTTTGGTGTCAAAAATTAATTTTGAGATTGAATGATGGAATTTCACATAATCAAATGATTTATTCACTGAAAATACCTTTCCATAAAAGGCAATTGTACATATTGATCTCACCTGATGTGCTAGAGAGGACTCAGATTGACTTCATCTGTGCAAAGTTTCAATGCTGAAGCTTATTATCAGCAGTCATAACAAGGTCTACAGTTGGCTGTGGAACAGAGCAATTATTCGTGCACAGTCAGATTGAAGTTGAAGGAAATGAAAACAAGTCTACAAGAGTCAAAATACAACCTGGAATCTTTCCTACCTGAATTTTAAAAAACCTTCTCAAGAGTAGATTTGTGGAATTGAAGACTAATGATTGAAGACTAGATGAGTTGGTGAAGACATCAAGGATGTCACCATGAAGAAAGCAAAACATAATTATGAAAACAAGGGAGAAGGAGAAGACCAGCATGTCAGAAAAAGACTCTGAAAATTGCACTAAATGGAGAGAGGCCAAAACAAAGGGAAGAGATGCTGCAATAAAAGAGATAAATTATTTCAGAGGGCAGCTTTAAGTATATCTAAACAAAAACCATAAAGAGATATAGAGATAGAGGTAGATATAGATTATATATATATTATATAAACAACAGAAAGTATACTTAAGAGGTATCATGGATAAACTATCTTACACTGAATAGCACATAAAGAAATCTCTAACCATGGTAGTGTTGGTACATTCACTGACTGATTCACTGATTTGTATTTCTCTACCTTCCTCCCCCTTATAAAAGGAATCTACCCAGATGGCTCCCATTTCCCAATATTATCACCACCCCTAGAGTGTGAATTGTCTTTTTCTTCTTTATATCTCCAGTATCTATCCTAATCCTCTTGCTGGGCTCGGGGAACTAGGTCCATGATTCAGGACACAGGAGTCAGGTTTCTTTCTGCTGAATTAATGATTATTCTCTGCAGTATGAGAATTCTAGATGCTAACTTGTGATTCCTAGCAATAAACCTACAATGAATTTTAGGTGAAACTTCACACCAGCTTGGAGAAGAAGCTGCCCCTCTACTTCCTTCGCAAAGTGGATCAGCAGAGTGTCATCGTGTACCCAAACAGACCCAGATACCAAGGCGGCTTAATAGTAAGTGCACACAGCAATGAGTAATGTGCAGCAACGTGGCAGTCTTGAGTGCTGTCCTTAAGGGTCCCCTTTTATAGACTTTGTGTCTGTTCTGGTCATGGAAAAGAAACAGTTACAGTGAAGGTGATGGGAAATGGGGAGGGAGACATTTGGTCTCCTCTCCAGGTAGTTTACCTGTAGCATCTATGTTGAATATACATCACAACCCTGGTAGAACAGGTGGGTGGACAGCCCAGATGGTACCATTTAAGTGTTTGTTTTCAAGTATAGGTGCACCTTCCCCCCATCACATAAAACTTATATTTTTGTGCAGATGCATTTATAGGTATGTATGTGGGCACATTCGCACAAAGTGATCAAAAGCTAAACTAAGACTACTGCATGATAATTGAAAAGACCTGTACAAGTCAGAAGATCAAGATGCTAATCCTAACTCTGCCAGGAAGACCGTCTAACAAAGGATTCCCTCTGAGTCTGCTGCAGGTTTATTTTCTTCCCTGTAGTGATACTGTGATGATATCAGTCTAAGGATCAGACTAGACTTTCTTCTTTGCCCTATGAGACTTCATTCATCCACAGATGAAATTACCACTTAACCACAGGACATTCAGCAATTTACTCTCCTTTTAGTCCCAGGCCCATATATTCTGTGCCCTCCAAGACATCTCTATTTGTCCATCTCAATTGAACAAGGTACAAATTGGACTAATTATCTTCATTTCTCCCTTTCTTCACTCCTTCTACACATCTGCAACACAGAAAAAAAGTGAAAGAATACTGTCCTTCTTCCAAGTTTCTCATTTCAGTTAATATCAACATCATTTATTTGCTTGTACACTTAGCACCCCCAGGGTTTTTGATAGTTTCCTCTCCCTCTATCTCTCCTTTCATGCCCACTCAGTACCCATGCTTCATCCAGTTGACCTCCAGGGTGGCTTATGTACATCCCTGCCTTCTCTGGCCTAGTGGTAGGAACCTGTGCCGCAATCCCAAAGGCAGGTGGTTCAAATCCACCAGTTACTCCATGGGAGAAAGATAGGCAATCTCCTGCTTTGCAATCACTGCTTCTGAAAACCCTCAGGAGGGTCAGCTATGGGTTAGTTCTGATTCGATGGTACAAAAACAACAAAAACAGCATTGGTCCTTGCACATCTGCTCATGAACCTCTCCAGTCCAGTCACAGTTTAAACCTACTGCTATTGAATAAATTGCAACTCAGTAATTATATTGGACAGAGTAGATGTACCCCATAGGGTATCCAAGGCTCTATATCTTCCAGGTTCTTGTGTGTCAGGAAGTGTGAGGATGGTACAGGATAGAACAGGGTTTGTATATTTTGTTCATAGCATTGCTATGAGTCATACTCAACTCGACAGTACCCAACAACAACATATCTTACAGGAGCAGATTCCACATGTTTCACCCATGGAGTGGCTGGTGAGGTCAAATCTCTGATGTTTAGGTTAACAGTTATGTATACCTACTAGCAAGACTCTTAGCTATGGTTTAAAAGACACTAAGTCAAAACAAAAAACAAAACAAGTCAAAACAAAAATTAAGAAGGTAGCTTTTTTGGAAACTTTATTGATTGATTCACGGTGTTGGATAATGATGCAGAGCTGTATTCAAGAGTTAACAAATAATCTTGTAAGGTAGGACTCCACTTATGATGGACATTTTTCCTGATAAATTGTAAAGTGATTCATTTATCCCCTTTCCCAAATGAGCTTCAACCCCAGATTACTTCTCCTGTGTTATGTCTAGATTGTATACTTTGTGTGGCTTTGTTTCAGAGTACTTTGCATTTCTGTTTCTTGTAATAGACTTTTATTTCCTTCAGAGCCAAGGCTGGGTCTTATAAATATTTATACTTGGGCAGCTGGTGCAAATATTTTCTGAACTGAGTTCAATTTGAATAATCATTATATTTCATCCCACAGTGTATATTTAATTATATCTTCTCCATTCAAGAAGCAAAACAAGAAGCACCAAATATTGATACATCTTTAGAAACAGAAATACTGAAGCAGAAATATCGGTATGTATTGTTTCTTTCTGTTGCCTTTCAGAAGCTTTAAATTTTTAAATAATGGTGCATGGTATAATGTTATGCCATAAACTCTTGTTTATTTCTTATAGCAAGTTATCTGGAGGTAGCGGTAGCTCAGTGTTAGGATTCTTTCTGTGTGGGAGGCCCAGGAATGATACTCAAGACAGGGCAGCCACCAAACTCAGCCACCTTTTTTCTGTGATTAGAGGCTTATCTGTTTTTATGATACTCAGTGAGTTTCAGTAGAGCTTCCATATTAAGGCAGACAAGTAAAAAGTCTTGCCAGTCTGTTCTGAGGATTCAGTTCACCAACTTCTCTCCTGGCTGTTGAGAAGGAATCAACTCATAGCTGACTCTTCAGCAGGTTTTTGGATACTGTAAATTGCATGGAAGGAGACCGCCCATCTTTCTCCCATGAAACCACCAGTGGATTTGAACCTTCTCCTTCTGTGCAATTAACTGCCTCTGAAAACCTGCCAGAAGGTCAGCTATGGGTCAGTTCCAGTTCTATAGTACCCAAGAACAACAAGGCACATAACCTTTAGGTCATCATGGCAAATTCATAAGAATTACACCACTAGCCAGTGGAAATGATACAGCTCACAACAGTGTAATCCTATTGTGCGTGGGTTTGCCATGAATTAAGTACTGCCTCCACAGCAGTTAACAACAGTGTATTGTGCTTTATTGGATGATTTTTCTTGATAATGAGTGTTGATTGTGGATCTGAGCAAGCTGTAATCGCTAACAACCTCAATCTCTTTTCCATCTAATATCGTGCTGCTCATTGGCCCAGTGGTGAGAAACTTTTCTTGATGTTGAGCTTCAATCCATATTGAAGACTATAGTCTTTGACCTTTTGCAGCAGGTGCTTCGGGTCTTCAGTTTCAGCAAGCAAGGTTGTGTTATCTACATATTGTAGGTTGTTAATGAGTCTCCCTCCAATATTGATGCCACAACCCTCCTCATAAAGCTCTTCTTCCCACATGGTCTGTTCTGCATACAGATTTAAAATGTACAGGACAAGATGCATCCCTGATACACTCCTTTCCTGATTTAAACCATGCAGTATTTCCTTGCTCTGTTCTGAGGACTGCTTCTTGGTCCAAGTATAGGTTTCATATAAGCACAATCAAGTGTTCTGAGATTCCCATTTTCCTGAAGGTTAGCCACAATTTATTGTGATCCACACAGTCAAATACCTTTGCATAGTCAATTTTGCATAGCAATGTGTTGCACAGTCAACACAGATATTCTTCTGGTACTCTCTGCTTTCTGCCACGATCCATCTAAATATTGGTCATAATGTCCCTAGTACAAATGACCTCTTCTAAATCCAACCTCTATTTCTGGTAGTTCTCTGTTAATGTACTATTCAAGTCTTCTCTGGATAATCTTCAGCAGGATTTTGCTAGTGATATTAGTGATATTGTTTGATAATTTCCATACTCTGTTGGATCACCTTTTTTGGGGAATGGGAATAAATATGGATCTCTTCCAGTCAGTTGGCCGAGTACTTGTCCTCCAATTTTCTTGGCACAACTTGGTGAGCACATGCAGAGCAGCATCTGTTTGCTGAAATACGTCAATTGGTATTCCATCAATTCCTGAGGATTTATTTTTTGCCAAGTCCTTCAGAGCAGCCTGCACCTCCTCCTTCATCGCCATTGCCTCTTGATCATATGTTGTTTTTTGAAATTCTTCTGTACCAGCTGATTCTTTTTGATTTGGTACAGTGACTGCATATTCTTCCATCTTCTTTTAATGCTTCTTGAATATTCTGATCTTAGCGTCCTTAAGCATTGCAACTTGTGGCTTCAATTTATTCTTTAGTTCTTTCAGCTTAAGAAATGCTGAACAAGTTTGGCCCTTTTGGTTTTCTGACTTCAGCTCCTTGCACATTTCATTATAGTATTTTTCCTTGTCTTCCCAAGCAGCCCTTTGAAATCTTCTATTCAGCTCCATAACTTCTTGATTTCTTCCTTTTGCTTTGGCTTCTCAACACTCTAGTATTCAGAGTATCTTCTGACATCCGTTTTGGTCTTTTCTTCTTCCTTTTTAGTAATGACTTTCTGCATTCTTCATAAATGATATTCTTGATATCTTCTCATAGCTTACCTGGTCTTTGTTCATTAGTGTTTAAGGCCTTAAACCTATTCCTGAGTTGGTTTTTAAATTCATAGGGGGTAAACTCAAAGTCAAATTTTTATTCCTGTGGGTATCATTTAAGCTTCTTTAGTTTTAATTTGAACTTACTATGAGCAGTTGATGGTCTGTTCCACGATCAGCACCTGGCCTAGTTTTCACTGCTGATATTGAACTTCTCCAGCGGTTCCTTCCACAGATGTAATCAGTCTGATTCCTGTGCATACCATCAGGTGAAATCCATGTGTATAACTTGTGTTTATGTGTGTTTTTTATAAAAGGTATTTGCTACTAATTAAATCATTGATTGTACAGAATTCTGTCATTCTATCCCCAGCCTCATTTCTGTCACCAAGTCCATATTTTCTGACTACTGATCCTTCTTCCTAATCTCAACTTTTGCATTCTAGTCACCCATTATTATTAATGTATCTTTAAAATGGGAACACTAATAAACTATCTTTTAACTTTGACATTGTTTATTGTTACGTTGTTGTTGAGTTGGAACCGACCCATAGCTGACCCTCTGTGGGGTTTCCAGAAGCAGTTAATCACATGGGAGGAGATTGCCCATCTTTCTCCTGCAGAGCATTTAGAGGCCTCAAACCACGTGTTTTTCGGATTACAGTGTAGCTTCTTGAAACTAGGACACTGGAACAGTGTCATATTAGAAGAATCATCTAGACTTTTGTAGCCCTGGAAATATTTAAGGATTTAAAAATTCCTTTTTCCAGATCACACATTTCTACAACTCTGTCATGCTTTATTTTGGCAAACTTTACAATATGCCTTCCTCTAGAAGGATTATGTCTTAAACATAATAAATATGATATAGAACACTTCTAGTTGTAAGCTTTGTTATACTCAGAAGGGCTGACAATTGAAAATTAATTATCTTTCAGGCTAAAGGATCTCAATTCTCTTCTGGAAAAACAGCATGAGCTTATTAAACTCATTATTCAGAAAATGGAAATTATCTCAGAGACTGAGGATGAAGATAACCACAGTTCTTTTCAAGACATGTTTAAAAAAGAGCAGTTAGAGCAAAGGAATAGCAAATGGAATTGTGTATTGAAAGCAGTAAAGGAAAGGGCACAAAGTTCTCAGCCGTAGTTCCCCACGCCTGCAATAGAGCTTCCTATTCAGGGCTCTACACGCCATGCTGAGTGGTAATCTCCCAGTTTGGAACCCATAAGAAGAAAGGGGGATACACACACACACACACACACACACACACACACACACACACACATATGATTATGAGTTTATTATCTGTGAAATCATGGTTCCTTCATTGTGTATGTAAGTAAACAAGCTCTCACTAGTCCTAGTAATCTCCAGTGTCTGTGTGAGGGAATATTCTCAGTGATATATTCAAGTTGGACTTTACATCTCATTTTCTGAATGCATAGAAAGACAGTTTGCTAGAACATACTTTTTTTTAAATGAAATGGAATAATAAATGTAACTGTTAGTCTAGATTGCAAACACCAAAACTGGATTAATATTCTATAGTTATATAATAATAAATAGTCTCAAGTACTAAAAGTAATGCCTTGAATAATAATAGTTTTATGTATTAGATTGTGTCCTAACCTGTGGAATGCTTTCCTCATTAGAAGAATCTGCAAGTGGAATTCTGTATATTCTGTGTTTTCCTAGTAGAGAGAACAGCCTTTGTGCTAATCTTGACACACCCAATGTCATTTTAACATATATAGCCGAGGCTTCATAAAATGGACTTTATGATATGTATGGATTTTACTACACAGAATGTATGTTATTTCTGTAGTTTTGTTTGCCAGTGATAATAATAAATGTAAAACTGATACACTTGCTTTCGGTGATTCTTGTGTGTGTTCTTCCATTGGGTTTCTAAGACTGTAAACTAGAAGAGTGAAGATTTCTTATCTTCCTTTCTCAAAGCTGCTACTGGATTCGAACCATCAGATAGACACTGCCTTTAGGTTAGTAGCACAACTCCGTCCACATAAAGCCACCAGAATTACCTCCAAAAACAACACAGAAGAAACCATCACAAAATATTGAAGAATGTTAGTGGAACCAAAGAATTAAACATCTGAATTAGAAAGAAAAAAAAAATGCAACAATAAAGCAAAGCAAAATACAAAAGAAATGAACCAAAAAAGAATTAAATTTATTGAGTAGCAAGAGAAAAGTTAGCAAACCAAAGAGGAAATATAATGTTAAATTTAAAAATATAACATTAAAATTATTCAACTCCTCAAAGCACCATAGCAGCAATAAAGACTTAGAAAAAAAATCTAAAAAAAATTATGAAGAATTTGCCAGATCTGCACAGCAAATCAAGTAAGCAAAGGAAAAAAAGCTGCTTGAATTTCCATTGGAAAACCATTAAATAAAATCAATCCCAGACTACGTCATAGTAAGATTTATGAAAACCAAAACAGGATGAATTCTGAAAACAGGACATAAAAATGCAATATAGTTATGTGGCTTGAAGTCTACAACAGAGTCAATGAAAAAAAGGATGTTTTATTATTTGGTTGATGTGTGAACATCATATTATAAACAGGTAGTCTTCATATATTAAACATCCCACATACATGCAACTGCTATTATGAACCAACCCTTAAAAAATTATTAAAAGTGATATAACACAAAGGTTCATGATATCCAAAGGGTACTACTTAGTAATGTGCTTGAAAACATTATCATTACTACTGTACTAGTACACTAAATAGGTTTTAGTGCATCTAGAAGTGTTACTTAACTGCTCTTTTTATTTTTTAAACACACACAAAGTCCTTTTGAGATCATAAACATACATGTGGCCAGATACTGCCTGAATATGACATGTGTGGTGGTGCATGACTTATAACACAACAATCAATGTGATTTCCCCCCTACACATTTTTGAAGCCAGAGACATTGGGATGAATATAAATGAATATTGAACAATAATAATTGTCAACCAAGAGTTCTTTATCAAGCAAAATTATCACTCAAAATTAGGGAGAAATCAAGACATGCTCAGAAATAAACAGAAGCTCCAGGAATTTTCCACTATCAGGCAGGCTTTTCAAATATTACTCAAGGGAATACGTTAAATACAAAGACAAGAACTTTAAAGAAATACTAATATCTATACCTAGGGAGCCCTGGTGGCCTAGTGGCAAGAAGCTGTGCTGCAATCCCAAAGACATGCTGTTTGAGGCCACCAGCTGTTCCACTAGGGAAGGATGGGCAATCTCCTCCCATGCAAATAGCTGTCTTTGAAAACCCACCAGATGGTCAGCTATGGGCTGGTTCTGACTTTACAGTACACAAAACAACAGTATGTATACCTGGTCTTCAACATAGATTACATCTCAACATCAAGAAAACAAAATTTTTACCAGTGGAGTGATAAGCAACATCATGATAGATAGAGAAAAGACTAAAATTGTCAATGATTTCATCTTACCTCGATCCATAACTTACACCTTTGGTACCAGTAATCAGGACATCAGGAAACATATTGCATTTGGTAAGTCTATGTTAAGGACCTCTCCAAATTATTAAGGAGAAATGAAGTAAATTTAAAGACTAAGGTGCACCTGATTCTTGTCACAGTCTTTTCAATCATTTGCTGTGCATCTGAGAGCTGGATATTGAATACTAATAACAGATAATTCATGACTTTGAGCTTGTTTTGGAGAAGAACACCAAATATGCTGTGGACTCTCAAAAGAACAAATATCTTGGAAAAAGTGCAGCTGGAGTGCTCCCTGGAGGCAAAGAAGGCAAAGCTCTATCTCACATACTTTGGGTATGGTGTTAAGAGAGGCTTATCTTTGGAAAGGGACATCATGCTTGGTTGGTGAAGGAGAGGAAGACCCTCACCAAGGTGGATTGACATGATAATAATGGGCTCAAATATGTCAGAGATCATGAGGATGGCACAAAAAAGAACAGGGTTCAGATCTGTTGTTCCTAGGGTCACAGCACTTTAAAACAACAATACCCACAGGATAAAAATATAGAAAGATCCTCAAACAATGTTACAATATGGGCTAATAGATGATAATGTCAGAAAGCAAACTCAATAATTAGACCCTACAAATAAATCAACATCCTGTTTGTAAGAAGTAAGTGCAAAATAAACTCATTGACTATAAGTTGTGTATGGGACGAATGGAGACACATCAATAGATATAGGGGACAAACATATCAAGAGTAGATTTAATATGTTAAGACTGTATGTTATTGTTGCTAAAACTATAAGTTGGATAATGGAATATGTGAGGTAACCACTAAGAAATGACATGGCTGAGGAAAAACCCTCAGAATAACAAGAGGAAGAAATGAAAAAAGCTTATCATAAGATAGTAGCTAAATACATTTTAGAAATCAGATAAGAAAACAAAGATGATATGAAACACTAACATGACATCAAACCCAAAATGAGTCAGACAGACATTACTTTCAGGAATAGTCTTAAATGTAAATCGTCGCAATGCCCTAGGCCAAAGAAATAATGGTAGAAAGAATGGGTAAAATACCTGTATTGTTGGGAAGCATTATACACCTATTGCCAGTATTGGTAGGTTTGATGTTTCACTAAAAATAGCTGTACATTCAAAATACACACTTTTTTTGGCAATTTTTTAAATTAAATTTTATTAGTTTTAATGAACATTTACAGAGATTTTGGGTTTTCATTCATTCATTGTTGCACTGTTTTCTCCACCCTCATCCCCAGTTC